GTTGCTGTCCTCGCATTTCGCAAGAAACCCCAGAAGTTGCACCAGCTAAAGCTTGCCTTCTATACTATTTTAACTATATAGTCTGGGTTGTTGGTGAAGTTGCACTGCAGGTTGCACCAGCCTTCAGCTTCTTTCCAAAACAACCCACAAGTAACTTGTGGCACAAGTAACTTGTGGCCACCGGTTGTTCTCCAGGCGCCGCCAACCATCGGCGAGGCCTTCAGGCGAGGCGAGCAAGTTTAGAGTCGGTCAGAGAGTCAGGCGATCAACGGGGCGAACTGTTAGTCTTTGCGGTGACCACTGGAGGTAAGGAACCAGAAGCAACCAAGGGTGTCTTTTTGCTTGGAGCCTTTGCGCCCTTAGCCCTTACAGCCAATGGGAGAGCTTGGTGAACACCCCCGTGATTTGCATACATTTCCCTATTGGGTGAAGACATTGAAGGGGAACCAGTCAGAAACCATAGATAATAGTATTTCGAGAAATGGCTTTCCTGGTTGTTTCATCTCTGTTTGTTCTTCCTGTTTTCAGCTTGCAGCAGTCTGTTTGGTTCAACTGACAGTTCTCATTCGACTTGAAAACAACTTGGTTTCCTGGGAATCCGGGGACTCCTTCGCCGAGCGACCGCGCCTTCCGCGCCAACTCGGCGGACAGGACTCCGGCGCGCACGGAGCGACACCACACCGGAGCGTGCGACACCACACCGGGCGTTCCAAGAGCGGAACAGGCGACACCTGTGCCACTGGTCGAGGTAGAGGTTGGAGAAAAAATCCACAAAGAAGAAGGATCCAGTCCAGAAACGACCGGACCTTTGTGTCGCACCGGTCCTTCAATTTGCACTATCACCACACTCCCAAAGCAGACACCGGAAATTCGGAGTGTTGAAGGATTTTGCTCAGACCTGTTCAATCCATTCGCCAGGGATGCTCCCTGTTACTCCCTCACGGACGACGAGGATCCCGAGGATGGCAAGGCGGTCGACGGAGATCCCTCGAGCGACCGAAGAAGATCTGTTTGGAGCACTTTCATAGGAACATCTACTACCAGGACCGACACCTAGACGAGTTTGTAAGTTGCCTCTTGATTCGGTGATTCGCGGTGTCCAAAAACCACCGGGCTTGGCAGGTCCTGGTATATGCCTGCATGGTTTTGGATCTTCCTGTTTTTTGGACCCTTGGATTCTTTCGGACCTTTGACATGCATGGAAAAGGTCGCCTTTTGAAGAGCAAACTCTCTCACCATTTTTGCAACATGTTTTCAACAGTGGTTTCACGTTTTCTTTATGGCACTGGAATCCAAAGGTTGCTTTTTTGTTGGGGTCCATATCACCTTTTGCGGATTGTGCCTTCTACTCTGAAGCCACCGTACATCCACAGGTCAACGAGCGACACGTCGCGACCCGCCGGACCGGACGCGACCCTGCCACGCCCGTAACGTGGGCGTTGATCGGTAGCGCCCTGCGGGGAAATTCAATCATCCTGCCATTGGTGTGTGAAACTGCCATTGATTTTGCCCAGGTGTTTTTCAGGTGTATATAGTTGTCAAGACCCCCACAATTTCCCCACTTAGGCTTCCTTTTGGGCTATGAATCATAGTTCTTCAAAAAGGCACTCCAACCACCAAAATCAAGATGGGTTGAACTAGCACCACTCTGACCCTTCTCCCACCCAGCCTTTTTCTTGCACCGGACACAGGGGCTTCCAGAGTACGAGGATCCATGGCTCTGAGACCAAAAGACGCGAGGATCCATGGGGCTGGGATGGGATTTTAAGACTGGATATGGTGAAGAAGGTTTCCGCGGTGAGGGGACGTGAGGAGACCGGACATGAGGAGACCTTGGTTTGCACGTGAATGAAGAGCCCACTGTCATCCATGTGTTGGTAGGGGAGCCATGAAGCAAAGGATGTTTTCCAAGAAATTGCACATTGACAGTGTTCTTTTGAAGGACCACGGAATCTTTACGGACTCCAAAGCTGGCTGTCACGGAGAGTGCAATGTTGAATCACTGGTTGGACAGCTACTAATCCAGCCCAATCACCGAACCTCAGAAGGTATGACTGAAGCCCAAGAAGGGCATCTATTCTTCCCGAGTCAGATTTCCCCCCCCCCGGACCCGTGTGACCGGGTGCGATGCGATCGCCGGCCGGTGAAGTGGGGGAGGCTGAAGAAGAGTGAGGGCGGTCAAAGGGTGGAGGCGGTTCTGCTTCCGAGAGAGAGCTATCTTTAGAGTCCTTTCTGGATACAAACCAGTGTTTTTCCGTCTTTTTCCGCTGTTTCCACCCTTCCGTGGCCCAAAACGCCCTGGGTGTCGCGGATTCCCCCGCACCACCGCCGTGGCCGATCACCGCGCCACCGCCACGCAGCTCCGGCTCGGCACAGATCCGACGGCTCGCCTCCGAGTTCCCAAGCAGTCCTCCCTACTGTAGGACACTGTAGGATTCGATCTACAGATTGGACCTCCATCTGCACCTGTTCCACCTGCGGCAGACTCCAGGGAATGTCCGACTTGTCTTCTACCTTTTTGTCAGGGTGTTTCTTTTGCTTTTCCCCACCTCGCAACGAGCGTTGACGCTCCTCTCGGTGCCGCATCGGATTGAAGAATATGGGCTACATTGACAAGGCGGGGACACCGCGCGTCCCGTCCCGCGCGGCGGGACGCACGATCCGGTCCTTCTGCCGGCGATTGAGGTGGCAGGGTTTTGGACCGTAAAACCGCTAGAGGAAGTCAATTCGATGCATCAAACGCTTGGATGCTGTGGAAGGTTTGGTCCATATATGGGACCCAGGGAGGGTGAAAAAAGCTTTCAATCCAACCCTCTTGTGGGTGGATGAGCATCAGCCAACGTTGACTGTTGATGAATCAAACTCCCCGAAGTAGAGATGTAAAAGCATTCTGGACACATCCTCCTCCTCCTCCTGCTTCTTCTTCTTCTTCTTCTTCGTTCTCCCTCCATGAATCAACCCGTCACCGTCAGCATGTTTTTTCGGGCGACCTCCGTTCGCATCGAGCCTCCAGTCGCGCTTCGCCACCAGCCACCCGACTCGCCCCCCACCAGTGTGGCGCGCCCCATTCTCGCCAGATTGATCAGCCAAGCTCACCAGTGGCGCCTGGGCGAACGAGTGGCGCACCAACGAAGCCGTGTCGGACGGGTGGTGCAACGCCGAGTTCGGCGAACGCCTACCCATTGGACTCGGGGGTGTTCGGTGTTGGATCTCTTCTTCTGGATAGCTGGACTCCAATCACCAAAACACCGACACCTTCCGCCGCCTGAAAGCGCGACTCCTGGGCGACCAAAAAGCGCGTTCAACGCGCGGAGAACGCGGAGTGCCGAGGCCAAATTTTTTCAATCGCTGGAACCACTTAGCTTTCTGAAGGTGGGAATGTCCGTTCTGATGGCGAGAGTTCGGAGGGGGGAAGGAGGGGAAGTGCAGGGGGTGTAAAGGGAGGTAGAGAGGGTTGGATGATTTGGCTTGAGATTGAAGTTGTTTGGAGGTGGAAGCCCAAGCAGAACGCAAGGCCAAAAAGATCCAAAAGGACAATCAATGCTGCAATTCATGATTCCTCTTTCCATCTTGGTACCTTTCCAAGAGATGCAAACCACCCAAGCAAACCTCAAAGTCCACCACTTGCTGCCCACGCGCCAGGAACGTGTGGTACGAGCTCCGCATGAGGCACGAGAGGCCAGGGAAGTGAACGTTGATCATCGAATGATGATACTCCTCCCGGTCGCCCGACGATCCCATGAACCCGGAGAGTTTTCTGCCGTGGTCCATGTGAATCTGCAGAGGAGTAGTTGGATGGTTTTTGAGAGGTGGTTCTTCTTTGGTATATTATGGTATATTGATACTAGTAGTAGCAAGAAGCTAGTAGTTGGAGGCCATCGCTACTAGTAGCAAGAAGCTACGAACGTTAGGCCTCCATGGGGGGAGCCTCCAAAACGAGGTAGACGGAAGGAAGCCGTGCATATGGAGCTCGGGGGCTTCAGGGAGGTCCTTGGGGCTACCAGCAGTTCCATGGAGGAACGGGTGCGTTCCGAAGGAACAGGTGCCCCTGTCACATGCACTCACTGGAGGGGACGAAGCACACCACCACTAGCTAGCTCTGTGACCCCTGGTCTGTGCGATTTGTTCATGTTCGAGCCAGGATCCTTTTCTACTGGTAGCTTTCCCGTTTAGGAGCCACTTCCGGCAAGTCTTGAGCATCTTGAATCAAAGCCAGCTGCACTGACGGTGCAACAGACAGGTGAAAGTCGATTCGGTGTTGTATCACTGGTCGTTGGGTCCCCACTAGGGTGCTTTGTGGCACGGAAGAAACCCAATCCCTTTGCAAGCCTTCCAACCAACGGAGGCATGCATGGGAGCTGCTATTTCCTTCAAATCTCCTTGTACGGCACACAACAAGGGCAGCAAGAGTGAAGTCTGTATTTTTGATCCCCCCCTGTTGTGGTGATGCATCAGACAGTGTGTTTCTTTTCTCGTCCCTGTAGTTAGCCGCCCAAATAGACGAAAATCATTTGCAGCCATAGATGATTGGAGGAGACTCAATTTTTTTGGCACTATATAGTTCCCTAGAACTTGAGTGACCTCCATTTTGGAGGATGAACTATCCAAAATAGGGTCTTTTCCTAGTAAAAAGGAGGTCAAATGGTTTCTAGTTTATATAGCCATGGCCAGGTGCCTTCTTTGGATTTGCCACACGCCGCTGCCGCTTCCTGCTCAAGGGTGAGCCCAGCTCGTACAGGGCTGCCCGCAGCGGAACGTAGCGCGGGGCCTGACCTGTTTCGATGGATAGGGTCTACCTTGAAGCTTTCGCAGCCCCCGGAAACCAGTCGAACAAGCAACCATGAAAGACTTGGGCCAAGGCTTTTTCAAACAGCCTTTACAGACTCGGCAAGCTGCCCCTCTGCACAGGAAGCAAGTCCGTCGATGTCTCAAACCGCGTCTCACCCGACACACTCTCATGACGAGAGTCCACACAGTCTCACAGTCCGTAGAAAGCGAGCGGTGCATTCCCCTTTGGCCGTGCTGAATCTGTACTGGGCTTTCATGTGGGAACCTCGCAACGACGAAAGTCCCCATGCCATGGTGTCTCTCCTTTGGAACGATGAGGCTGGGGACTGGGGAGGCGGTGAGTACTTGTGCAGTGCCTTTTCACACCTTCTGATTCACTAACCTCTCTTTTCTTTCCAGTCCACCATGAAGATGCTTCTTGGTTAGCTCGGCTCCCGACCGCTCGGCTCCGACCGACTCCAAACGGATGCGATCGACCAACTCGTCGCCTCGGAAAACCAACCCCGGTGGACCGGCGGTGGACTCGTCTCACGTCGGAGACGATTCGATTCGTTCGCGATTCGGAGCCGCCGGACGTTGTAGGGGACTCAATGGCTGGACTTGGGTCCATGAACAGGTGCGATGAAGATCTTGGTCACGGAGGAGCCCAATCGAGTTTTGGAAGGTGTTCTGGTGGCCCCGTGAAAAGCTCCATGAAAGCAGGCTTGGTCCAGGGTCCGATCCCTCCACATGGGGGTCCAGGAGCGTCTGGTTGGAACAGCTCCTTTTTTCCAAGGTTCCTACAGAATCTCCATTGGCCAGCTTCTTCAAAGTGACCTTTTTGGAGTCTCCAAAGGCTTCCTTCTACAGGCCTGTTGGTGACCTTATACAGGCCCAGGGATCAAGTTCAGTCACTTGGAAGAATCAGGCAGAGGTCTTTCCTGGAGTCACTCCCCCAATTCCCTCCCTACTAAGCACGGGAGAAGGCCGCTGTACGCTCCTCGCGGGTCGCTGCACCGGCTTCTTCAGGTGGAAGGGACTCTGCTGGTGGTGGCCGCAGCGCCATGGCTGGGGTGGTTTTGGTGTCCCAAAAAGGAGGAATCCAGAGAACTTGGCGATGGTTGCGATGGGATCAGTCCGTTTTGGTGACCAAAAACCGGCTGGAGAGAGGGTTGGACGTGATCCCCATCACACTTGGAGAGGGGGCGGCAGCCTCCGCCGGTCGAGAGATGTGACATGTTCAGCTAGCTAGCCAGAAAGTCCGTGGATCACGTGCAAAAGCTGTTTTAGAGGATTGGCTTTGCCACCAAACTTGAAAAGGATAGAAAAGTTGGACACTTGGGTTAACCCTTTATTCTCCAGGGAAACTGAGGAATCAATTTAGGATCTGGCAACAACGGAGGGATCAAAGTGATTATACACAGCCAGCATGGTCCTAGCCTTCCAAGACTGTGTTTCACATGGTTGACCTGGTTTTGTAGTGTTGCGAGGCTGGAGTTGGAAAAGGATTTTCCATGATCACAGGCTTGATCACAGTCTTTCACTTCCATGGTAGGAGGGACGAGCACATGGACCCTCATGTCATCACCGGTGGTTGTTTTTTTGTTGAAGAGCCTTGGCTTGTTCTCTCAAACAGCTTCCGGAAGACACAGAATCTTCGATCTCCACCATTCTTTGGTCGCCTCCCACGTTCCCAGAAGGGCCAGCCATCTTTGGCCACTTCGCCCATCTTCGCCTCGCACCTCTCCGTTTCGATGCTTTTCGATGCATGGGACTCTGGGACTTCCGTGCTGCGCCGTCTCGCGCCAGCGCCGTCTCCCGTCGCCAGCGCCGTCGCCGTCAGGCGTGTGTCTTCGCCGTGGTGGCCGTGATCGTGAAGACCGATCCGTTGCCGGTGCCGATCCGTTCCGCCACGGCGTTCTGCCACGTTCCGCTTCGCGGAAGACGAAGCAGGAGGAGTCGCGTTTCTTTTTTTTCTGCGTGTGTGAAGGAATCAGGAGTCATGGGAGCATGCGGGGTTTTTGTTCAGAGTCTGCGAGTGGCTGCTGAAAACCGTTGGCTGGTCAAGCGACAGACTTGACTGACGGGAGGTGCTCTTGGCGACGGAACTCCGATTTGTGGTGAGCTGGATAGCGCCTCGCTTGATGTTCTCAGTGCAGTTTTTTTGTGTTGAGATGCTAGCGCATCACGCATACCTTCAGAAGAGACCAGGACTTTCCACCATTTTTGGAGTCCCCCTGAGTGACCTTTGGCCTGTTAGTGACCTCAAACCAGGGGATCAAGTTCGGTCACGAAGATCCAGGGAGTAGATTGTAGACTCTCCGACTCCCAAGAATGAAGGCGGCACAGCGGTAGAACACATGGATTTTTTTGTCTTCACCATTGCTTCAAGCTTCTTTCTGATTCAAATTTACCGCCTTCTTGAATGCGTCCGGCTGGAACCGGCCGGCTTGCCGCGTTTTCGGCCACGCGGCGGGTTTGTGGCAACGAACGCCGGATGTTTCCAACAGAACTGATCTCGTCTTCATGTTCTCGGATCTCGTCTTCAACTGAGCTCCTGGAAAGAACCAACTCATTCGGAGGTCATCTTAGCTGGCTGAAAGCCCTGAGCAGGACACCCCACAGTGCAATGAACGGTTTTATATGACCTACATGTTTTTGCATCCGAATGGGGTTCCGCGTGTGCCTCGTGTTGTAGCCGGTGCTTCGAAAATACTTTGTGCAGTGACTATCCATGTAGATGCAGTAAACAGTATATACCCCCAAAACTCGTTTGATATGTGTCGTAAGCTTCGATGCCAGCTTCGAAAAGCGTTCAACATCTCTTGACGAAACTCTTCCTGCGATTCAGTTCACTTCATCACCTACGTCGGACTCCTCCCTTCACTGTCAGGCTATCAGCCATGTTAGATCACCCGATCTACGGTGATCTACGGTGGTTGATTCGAATCTCTTTTGGGGTTGCTGCGTTCCTTTGGCTTGCTGCGTTCGTCCCCTGGCTGTTTCCTTCGTTTCTTCGTTCGTCTTCGGCGACCTGTCGTGGGGAGCCGGCGAAGTCCTCGTGGAAGGCGGCAGGCGCACGGCGTCACGGCTGGTGCTGCCCAGCCGTGAGATATATATACCTATAGAGCCTGACTGACCTCTGTTTTGATTGGAAACGACCATATTTTGGATAGTTGATCGTCCAAAACAGGGGTCACTTCGGCTCCAGGTACATATATATATATATATCTATGTTTCTGGTGCTTTTTCAATGTATTTGATCACCGCTACTGGCCCTGCTTTCAATCCATGTGGGCAGATCTCCATAGCCTTCATGCTCCTCTTCCAGAAGAAGCTCAACCTCCGCTGGCTTGGCCCTCCTGGCAGCCAGTGCCCGGGCTGCAGCGGGGCATGCCGCGAAGCGAGTTTGCTTGGCACATCTACAAACGGCAACCCCACGTAACAATATGACAAGTTTAGCTGATAGGGATGGAATTGGCTAGGAGTATGGGAAAGTGGTCCCACTTGACCAGCTCTCCAGACAGACCGGCCCAATCTGGCCTGTGACACCCGTCGCGTTGCAGGAGATGGCTTATCCTGAAGGGCGTCTTGCAGGTGTCCTTCATCACCTGCTGGTGGACTGCGCTGCAAAGGGCACCGGTGGGGAACTGCGTGGCCATCATCTACAGCTCTCCAATTTTGACCTCCGTCTTCTCACGGCTCTTGCTCAAAGAGCCTTTGGGAAGTCAGTTTCCCTTGCAGGTGGGGCTTTTGGGAGGGCTTTTGGGAGGGTGAGATGTCGATGGAGTCTTGACATACGAGGAACCCGGCATGTTTTTGGACAGCATGGTTTCTGCGAGTTTTCCTGGAATTGACCAGAAGGTGCCAGCCATTCTTCAGAGGTGCAGAAGCCATGCAGAAGGGCCCCAAAGTTCAAGCTTCTTCTTTGGTTTTCAAGGGGAGCAGAGACGTACGCTGCGCTCCTCCCTGCGCGCCAGGTGCTTCTGTCAGTGATTGGTGTGATGCTCATCTTGGCTCTTGGGATTTGGATTACTGGTCAGTGCTCCCGCCAGACCCATGCATCGGGAGGTCAACCACATTTCGGATGTTTTGTCGTTGAAAGATGTTGAAAGTGGTTTTCATCGGTGATCCTTCTTCTTAAGACAAGAGCCATCTCCTTTTTTTTGGAAGATGGGACGCTCGGTCTTGGAATTTTTGTCGGGTTCTTTAGAAGCGATCGCTTTGAGTGTAGACTGTTGACCAATTGGGCCCATGTGGATTGTAAAACCTCTCTATCTGGGGGGGCTTTATTGATCAACCGTCCACATGACTAGTCTTCCCATGATTCAATCCAGGCCAAGATCCGCTCGTTCACGTATGGATTCTTGTGGGATGTGCTTCTCATTGGCTGAGACTGATGGTCAAGTGGGACATACGTTACCGATGTTTCATGATTGGCAAGGCACCAAACCTCAGCGATTTTTCGATGAGGTTTCATGTTTTCTTTCTTTCCCTTCAAGCCTTCCTTTCCCTTTCCGTTCCCAAACTCCTATCCTTTCCTTTGTGGCCGCCTGCGCGCACGCCGGTGTGCACGCCGGTGTGCTTGCCCACTGAGGGCCTGCCCTTCCACGGTCTCTTGTCGGTGGCCTTCTGGCGCCACTCCTGGTCCTCCAGCGGGGAGGAGTACCACTTTGCTGCTCGGATGTGAACACCGTCCGGCGCGTTGGATTGGAGTGAGTGGAGTGGGTGGCTGCTCGTAGGAAGTAGAAGTAGGAGAAGGAGCAAGTCGGACCACGTCTTTTTCCAGTTGGGCAAGCCTGCTAGTTGTGGGACATCTAGGATGCCCTGACCCCCGGGTCCGGTCGGACGTTGCCAGAAGAGTCCAACCCACAAGTCCGCGAATTGGAGTGTATGAGACATCTTCACCAGCACCCACGGATTCCGGGGTCATCCATTCATTACTAGCCCCGCCCCGAACAGAGGTCAGTCGGGGGTGGTCGGGGGTTGTCCCGACTGGGGGCTCTAGGCATCGAGAAGATCCTCGTCACCCAAAGGGTCGCTGGGGATCACCTCCCGCCCGGTGGGTCAGGTCTTCTTGGCGCTGCTCTTCAGTGCTTTGCTGCCACTGGTCACCAAGCAGACTCAGGAATGCAGCTGGATTGAGGCGAACCAAGCGCCATGCTTCCACGAACAAGCTCGGCTTCCACGCAAAAGCACCGCTTCTTTGGCAAGAAGCGGTGCTTCTGACCTCCCGGCACCTGACTACAAACCATCACTCGAAATTCAGACGCACAGCCAGACATTCAGACGTAAGCGAGGGGCGGGTTCTTCCAAACCTATGCGACAGTCGACCCATATGTCATATGACTCCGACTTTTTTTGAAGCCGTTTTCTTCGACCCATATGACTCCTCTGTGTCTCAACCAGATACACCATCGGATGGCCGTTCTTTCCTCGTTGGCCGAAGCAGGACACCGCACGTTTTGCGACCCGAAGCGGGAGACCGGACCGGGGAGGGGCGGACCAGGCCTGTTGTTCGGAGCATGGTTTTGGAGGACTGGCGCTGAAGCTTCGCCTGAAGCATGTTTCGCCTTCGAATCTGCTCCAGGTGGTGCACGTGACTGCTTTGTTGGCCTCGTTCCTGCTGAACCCTGCGCTACTCCTGGGTGCCTTGGATGGGGGGAATCCGGAAGCCTGGAAAGAGGGGTGATGGCTCAAAAGCAGAGGCTCTCAGTCATTTCGAGATACTTGGATTCTTGCTTTAGAGACTGGCTTGCGCTTGTGGTCTTTTGGTTGTCGTTGTTCGAGCCAGCCACGTGTGGTCAAGAGAGCCATGATAAGTTGCGTGGTCAACAGCAGACTACTGTTGACAGACTCACTGTGAATGCGCGACCACCCTGCAGTGACCGGTGTTGCGTGGATTGGCTGTGTGTGTGGTGGGTGAGAGGAGAGATGAGGGGAGAAGCTGGTCTCAGGCGTCCAGGAACCTTCGCAATCGGAATGAGCTCGAATGAGGACACGTAGGTCTTGAAAAGGTCACTCAGAAGGTCCTGGTATATACTTGGGTTTTACCAGCCTTGATTGTCGATGGGACCGTCCCAGCGTTTTCCTTCGCTCGTCTTGGACTTCGCTCGTCTTGACTCGTCCGATCGTTGGTGACCGGAACACCGTCACAGCGTTTTCCTTCGGGCATGTCAAGCGGCATGTCGTCTTAGCTCATGGACTGAAGCAAAGAACCACTGCGACACCGTCACCGATGTGGAGTCTCAACCGCTCGTCCGGCGAAGCCACGAACCGTCGAAGCGCCTTCCAAGATGGCTTCGGCTCGAACGAACAAGCCCAGGTGATGTGCTCCTGGGTGGGGGTCATGCCATTCCAGGTGGGGATGTTCTTCGTTGCTTTCGAAGTGGTTTGAGTGTAGCATGATGGGGAACGTCACAACCTATCTGCATCCATGCCAAGCTGTTTGGTATGTATGAAGTTCCAAGATTTGGGGCTTAGATTCACTTCCCTCCAAGTTGCTAGCATATGGAACATCTCAAGAGACCGATCCAGGAAAATGGGAGTTGACAGAGTCCAGAAACCTACACTGGAGTCAGGAAGCTGTGAGTCAGGAGGCCGACTTGTCCCAGTCGTAGGAAGATTGTTGTTGTCGTCAACGTCGTCTAATGTTTGATTGGATTGAGGATCATCCAGCCCCACGTCTTTTGATGCTTCCCCATCCTTCCTGAAGACCAACATTTCTTGCGAAGTCTGCCAGTCTGCAGGCGACGGGCTCGGTGTGCGTGAGGCGGCGCTGATCATCCTCGCAGCTGGCGGATCCTTCTTGGGTGTAGCTCTGGAGACCAGGGGTTATCAGCTGGCACAGGTGCACCAGCTCAGCCGCGCGTCCCGCTGCTTCGGACCTGGAGACGCGCGGGACGGTGACGCGCGTGGCGAACCAACACACGGCGGTGCCGAGAAGTTCCCGAAGGGTTTCGGGTTCGTCAGCTGACGCGCCATCGTCACGCCTGTGCAGTCTGAAAGGTCTAGAAGATTCATGAGATATTCCAAGAAGCACGGACGAAACTCTCACGGATTTACCGTGCGCTGCTGCTTTTGGATTGATATCCCTTATCTCATACTCATTCCAGATCCATCACCCAGGAGCCCAAGAAAAATACTCTCCCCACATCCCCCAGCCCCTTTTTGATGCCCCCCAAACAGGAGGTTCGTTGATTTGGGTGGCCTTTGCCGCTCCGTTGCCGCTCCGTGGCAGGTGGGCCGGGCCTCCATGTTTAGGCACCACACGGCCGCCGGACCGGTTCGCGTGGTCGGCGTGGCCGGCGAAACACCGCTGTTTCGACAGGAGCGCCATCTGTGTACCCCATGTTTTATTTTTTTTGTTTCCGTGTTACTTTTTGGGGTTGGAGAGAGATTGACTCCTTTTGGATCCTTTTGGTGGGTGTCGTCGTTTGCTTGGCACTGCCGTAGCCCGTGGTTGATGACTGGTTGGTTGTATCAACAATAGTTGCCAAAGAGGCAGACGTGCTCTGCGTGAAGTTTGTCAGTTCTTTTCCCGGCCTGTTGGGCATTTGGTTCTCGATTGCTTCTAAACGTTGACTTGTTCCCAGCGGGGTCTACAGGGTCCAAGAGGATATGGAATGGCGAAACCTTGGGGCAAGCGGCAAGTGCCACGCTTTTCTGAAAGACTTCAGACAAAGCATCGATCGACAAACGGTGTGGCTTCAGACGCCTGGGAACTCTGGTGTCCCTGTCAGCATCTTGGCAGATATGTGGAAGTGCCTTTCGCCTACTTCTTGCAGACGTGCTTCACTCATGAGCAGGTGAAGTTCCGAGCGCACCTCGACAGGGCGTTTCTTCTTTTTGGGGCGCTTTTTAAAGGTGGTGGGTCTCCCTAAGGTCGAGTGAATTGGTTTTCCAACGTTTTTCATGGCAGTTGGCTTTACTCAGATCTCCCTACCTACCAAAACCCTCGCGCGTGGCAAGGCACACGGCAAAAATCCATGCCAAGCTTTTTGGGGCCACCTTTCTTTTTCGATTCCTGGAAGGCGTGTTCGACAGGTTAATTACTACCGTTGCGTTCACAGGAACGCTAGACTTCCAAGACCAGCAAGAAATGGGAACGACCTGTATATACATCCTTAGTTGATTCAGTAACGTAAAGCCTATTCAATTATATACATCATGTTGGCAGGAAGCCTAGGGCCTAGGGGAATCGAAGGCATCTTGCGCCGAGTGCCGTGGCCTTTTACCCGAGCCGTGGCCTCTTGCGTCGGGGCTTTTTTCACGAAGGTCGGTCGCGCTGAAGGTCGGCCGAAGAGCCAGGTGCCGCCCAGTCCGAGCCCCGCTCGACCCGCCTTCTTTTTCGGCCGGTCTTCGGGGGAGGGATCTTTGGTATGTGTCCCGCACTGGTGGAAGCGCCAGAAATCGAATCGAGCACATCTATATAATTTTTCACTTCTTCCTGGCTATAGTCAAGTGAGATCCTTCGAAGAAGGTGCCCCCCCAAGTTTCGTTGGGTCTCGCGCCCCGGTTGAGACCCCTTTTTTCCTCGGAGTGCTTGGTTTTTCGTGTCGACAGGAGGGTAGGGACAGCATGCGGGTTTGGGAGGTCCGCCAGTAGATTGAAAGCTCAGGCATTCTGCAGAACAAAACCCTCGAAGTCGAACCACCATTGTTTTTAATAGCCTGAATCTTGAACAACAGAGCTGTTTCACTAAGGGTTTTACTTAGTGCAAAACCACATCAACCATTTTCAACATGTTCGACTGGACCTCCAGGGAAAAACCCTCCAATGGACCTCCGTAACCTTTTGGACCACTCAGGTGGTCCATCGTGGTCGACCGTGCCAGGCTGCCAGGCTGCCACACGTCGACTAGATGACACGAAGCAACAACCGTGGAGGTTGGTATACATCACCAGGGGATTTGGGGGGGAAAAAAGGGGCCCAGAGGCCTGCGACGGGAGGGATTTCTGGTCGTTCCTTCTGCCAGGGGTTTTGGTGTGGGGCCACCTGTTGGGACCTGACACTGCGGTACTTTCGTCGATGTTTGGCGTCCTTCGGTCGATCTTTGGAGTTCGGCCTCACACTGCGACGGCCGAGGCTTCTGGGGTCGATGTCTGTGATCGCATCAGTGGCTCTGGTGCTCGACTGGAACAGCCTCCCCATGGCGGTCACTGGTCACCACTGGTCGTTCCTTTGGGTGCGGGCGTGGTTCTTGCGCGGAGCCGGCAAGAAGCGGGAGACAGACACTCCACCTGCATGCGATCGTTTCGTTTTTCCTTGACAACATCTAGATTAAACATGTTTTCAAGTGTTATTTACCGGGGACTTGAAGAGCAGGCCAAAAGCGCCTCTGATGGGTGTCTGTCTGATGGGTGGAGAAGGGCCAAGTGCTCAAGAAGACATGCCCGAAACAGGGCAGGAATCATCAACGAGGAAGTGATTCCACTTGATTTCACTGTAAATGGTGCAATTCCAGGGGGTGGCATCGATATGGATGAAGCAGTCCCAGAGCATATGGATGCGGCGATCCCAAAGATTGCAACAGGTCATGCCAACCACCCAGCGGTTTGGATGGTCAACAATTAACGTTTCATGCTTTGCAATCCTCTGTCACTTTTTTGAGTGGCAGCCCTTTCTTTCAGAGCGACTTTTTGGTGTTGAGGTTCTGACCCACTCTGTGATTTGTGAACGTGTGGACCAGGTGAATGGATGGTTTGGGCCACTGGGAAATTTGTTCCTGGCTTCCATGACTCCGAAACCAATCGTCCCTAAAGGCCCTAAAGCAAGCGGACAGGCGGTGTGGGAGAGGTTACACTATATACTCAAAGGGTCTTTGTGCTTGCAGTGCTTTCAGTGTAAGCGACCACCGTCGTTGGAGGACACCCATCACTTCGGTACTCGCCTTTTCCGCGCAGAGAAGCAAAAGAGAAGCGGCGCGATCGGTGCGCAGAGATTGGAGACGCCGAGCGAAGCGTTCTTGGTGAGGCGTCCCGGAGCTGATCCATGTTCCCACACAGGGACTTTGGGATTTTGCGCCACACGGGGGGGTCTTCTGAGACTGCAAGAGACTGGATGAACCACATCGACTGCGTACGAGGCCCCTACCATCGACCATTTCTGAGCACCCTCTCTGTCAATACCCATCAAGGGGGTTGGCTTCTCTTTCGCACAGTCTTGTGTTGCGGGCCCTTTGCTTGTTACTGGTGGTAAAACAACGGACAAGCATGTTGATCTCACACTTTTGGGACATCCTCTATTGCCAACGAGACTGGCTCCGCCAGGCGTCTCCGTCAACTCCCAGGCTACCTGGCAACTCGGCTGAAACGGACGCGTCGCGAGGTGTCTGTCGCGACCGGTTCGGTGCATCGGTGGGGGATCTCCTGGATGTCATGATGTGGAGCAAGTGACCTCCGGCACCCAGTTTGGGTTTCATATTGGGTGGTCTAAAGAGATCCTCCTGACCGGTTCCACATGTCGTGTTGACCATAAGCATCTGAAGTGGGCGGTGCTAGCACTTGAGATGTTCCTCATGCTGACCCACAAGTCTCATAGTTTTTCTTGCAGAGCAATTTTTTGGCAATTTGGCCACACACCAAACACACCAAACACACTCCCATACTT